GAGACAGCGACCCCCGCGCACTCGAGGAAGGATCCGACGGAAATAGAAGGAGCGGGCGGCGCGAGTGCGTGTGTGCACGTGTGCCGGCGGGAGGGGGGGGGCGCTTTAAGCCCACGGCCCGGCCCAAGAGCGCTAGAGCGGGCGGCTAAAGGCGCGAGGTACACACCACCTGGAGTCGGAGGCCGCGTTACTACAACGCGACGTGCCCGCCCGGAGGCCCGGAGGCCCGGAGGGTACAGCAGGTGTGGCCCACAGTACTGAACACTGCGCAAGGAGTACTTCTGTAGGAGGACTTCACTGTGCAGGTAGAGGGGCAGTCAGGAGTTAAGAGTGCTGAGAAAACGTCCCGTCTCCACTGGCATTTTGTGGGGTCACTCCATTTGGCGACCGATAACATATGTTAAATTCATGTAATCACTTGACGACGGGTTCTCCCACGGGCGTGGCGGCCCCGTGTGACTTCCGGTACATTGTTTGCCCCCTTCCGCCGCGGAGTAACCCACTGCTCCGCGGGTGGCGTACTTTATGGCGAAGCTGACGGGAGGTGGGAGTTGGCGCCAAACAAACGGCGTGCAAGCCACCGGGTGGGCCGTCACTGTTCTCGCTCGTTGGCGGCCGGCCGGGGTAGGGCGGAGGGCGCTGCAGTGTTTTTTCGTGAGTTGGCATCATTGCTGCTCACGGCATTGGAACGGCCAGAGCCAGAGAGGCGGGCAGGCCCGCGCCTGGACGCAGCTAGAGCCGTTATGCAGCCCGGGCCAGGCCGTGGTGGGGCGTGGCGTGGTGGGGCGGAGCTGCGCACGGCTCCGCTCTACTTGAGTTGACACGGCGGGGCAGAAGTCAACCCGGAGCGACACGCCGCCACGCCCGCCGCGCCGCGCTCGTGCCTGCCGCTGATGATTGTTATTTGAGCCGCCACCGCAGGGCGGACCAGCAGCGCCAGCATCGCCAGCAGCCAGGCCAGCCGCGCGTCAGGCGTAGAGGACCCCATTGACGAGTTCTAGCGAGAACTGCAAAAAGCCTCTCGGGATAGATAGATACGTCATTCGAACGTAACACATACCAACCACCAACCACTACACGTCGTCGATAAGCCAAAGCCGAGGCGAGAGTCCCTTTTCGTACTTACACTTGCATGAAAACGCGATAGTCGGATAGTCGTATTTTGCGAAGTGACAAAACCTTGAAATCGGCAGGAGAGTTTCTCACACACTCACAATGAAAAGGGCCAATTTTGTAATGAGGAGGGATGATTGTGTTTTTAAGCACATCACAAACCGATGCAAATTTGTCTCCACACACAAACTAAATAGAAATAAACAAGTTATTTGTACTTAGGCTAGGTTACGACCTCTAACTTTTCAGATACTAATTTGCATTCAGTCGAGAGATGCTTAAGAATAACACATCCCCACTGGATACAAAAATCATTGCCCTTTCCCATTTGGAGTGCTTTGTTTACAAAATACGTATGTATCCGGTTATGGAGGAAAACGATTTTTGCTCTCCGCGCTCTCGCTCACGTCCGTTCTGCGAGCGGCTATAAGTGAGATATGCCGATCAACTCCCCCCACTTTCTTTAATCGGAGACCCCCTCCCCTCCCCCACACTCGTTGGGCGCCGTGGCACCTGCGGGCCGCGCTACGCTACGCCACACTCCGCCACGCCACGCCCCTCTTCGCTGACAGACACACATCCGCGTTGGCCGGCCTCACGGGCCTCACTGGCGGCGATCCTTATCGGACCCGAAACAAAAGCGCGGCGCCCAAACGACTCGATATCAATCGAAGGTTAATCCGATTCGCGGGGCTTTTCTGCCCTAAAAGAGCAGTAAAAGCAACGGGCGGCCGCCCAGATAGAAAGAGAAGGAAGGGGGGGGGGGCGCAGCTGCGCCGCGTTTAACGACCACAAGACCACGCTCCATATACCAGTCTCCTAAAGGTTCCATTACAAGAGATACGGAGAGGACCACGCACGCAGCACTACTACTGTCGACCTCGAGGCTCACCTTGGTGGTATCCCGGCGGCGGGTCGTGGTAGGGCGGCGGCCGGTCCGGGTAGGGCGGCGGGTAGGGCGGCGGGCAGCCGTCTCCATAGGGCTGCAACGGCGGCGGCAGCGGCGGCGGGGCTCCGAAGGGGCTCTCGGCCGGTCCAGGCGGGTGCGGCGGGTAGCCGTGGTGCATGAGGTAGGGGTGCTGCAGGGCGGGCGGCGGCGGCGGGCCCGCGGAGGGCGGCGCGCCGGGAGGACCGTCGGGCGGCCTCATGCTGGACAGGGCCACCAGCGGCGTGTAGGGCGCGTTGCTGCTGCCGTTAATGTTGCCGTTGGCGTTGTTGCCCACGGCGCGCTGCACCTGCGAAACACACAGATCGATATAGAGATACATTTCCCCCCCACTGCTTCCAGTAGTATTCCCACTGCGAAATCATCGGAACCAAACATGTGTTTGTCAGATGTTCGCCCGGCTGAACTGACAAATATTCGATATATCAACTTCTGATTCATCGGCCTCCGACGACGGCACAAGCGGCACTTCCAACTCCCTCAGCCCAGCCCAGCCCCACCCCTCCCACCCTTGTGCGCCGCCCATTGCGGCGTCTACTCTCCATCCCCCTTCCTCTCCCCGTCGCGGTTCCGGTCGCGTCGACTCGATCTGCCGATTCATAATTCAGAGGAAATCCGCGTTCACCCTGCCTAACGACGCAGCTTAAAGTGTATCGTAGATATTGCCCCGACCCC